ATATTTTATATAATGAAGTGTAATTCATAAATAAATATTTTTTGGTGTACAGAAAACAAACAAAACTTTTATTTGTTTCATAAAACCACCCATACGTTAATGGATTGTCTGGACTTATTTTAGCATGACGATCGTAAAATTTAATTTATTAGGTCCTTGTAAAAAACTAAAAAAATATTTTCCGTATTCCTTTCGTTCTAGCATAATAATGGAAAATGTAAATTTTAATGACTAAGCTTAATGAAATTAAATGTTATGCGAAATATGATTTGATTGGTTGGTTACTCATTATTGTTAAGTTAACTACTCGCTAACACATTACAGGTGTATGGATTTAGATATGTAGTTATTTAAATAAGACCACACTAAAAGTCTGGGTTGAGCATTTCGCGGTATAGAAGTATACAAAAGATATTACGAAAATCGACAACATTATGTTCTAAACACATTTTATCCACATCATCAGAAGATGACAAAAATTGAGTTTTAATGATCTGATTACTTGAATTTTAAATTTCATCGAAATATGAATAAAATTAAGTTTTTAATGCTCTGCTGATATGAGTCTTCTTCTTCAGGCGTTGGCGATCTCCATGACTATTTCGTTGAAGAGTTCTGTATCTTCTGCTGCATGAAACAGTCTCCACACCCCCAGACAGGTCAAGTTCCGTATATTTCTCAGCCATGACAGTTTCTTTCGACCTACCCATCTTCTATCTTCGACTTTTCCTTGAATGATCAAATGAGGAATATATATTTGGTGCCATGCATTATGTGTCCAAAGTAGCTAACCTTTTTGGCCTTGATGGTGGATAAGAGTTCCCGATCTTTGTTTAGCTGTCCAGGAACCCCTTCGTTGCTTGTGTGTTTGGTCCAAGAAATCTTAAGGATTCTCCGGTAGCACCACATTTCAGAGGCTTCTATTTTATTTATATTTTCGACTTTTAGCGGTCCATTTCTTGCAACCGTAAAGAAGACTGGACCATATGTAACAACGTAGTGTTCGCAATCAGGTTTGCAATGACAGGTTTCTATTAGTGAGCGTGGTATTCCATTTTGTGCTACTCAACCGCTCACTTATTCAATAATTAAATTAGAAAACCTTCAGATAAAATCAATTTATTTCTAATCTCATTTTGATTAGTCTCATGATTATTTAAAACTAATTTGGTCACTAAAAGAGTAATAATAATATTTAATTTTTGGTGTGATTTGACGCTAGTGATAACAGCTGATATATAGGGTGGTCCGAACTGTATTCCGGAAACTTTGACAGCAGATTCTGCACATAAAAATAAGTAAAAATGTTCATATAAATGTATGTCCTAAAATGCCTAGTTTTGGAGATACAGGGTGTAGAAGTTTCATTTTTATTTCGATTTTTTCCAAATAATTTCTGAAGTAACGTCAATATTGATTGAATTGGATGAATGAATTGGATGAAAATTGGTGTCTGTGAGTTTTTTGGCATGAGGAATTTGATTTTGATATCAATATGACTCCTACTTGTAGAGGACGCCACCTACATAATTTTTTACTGGTTTGAAGAGTAATAACTTTTCGTCCGTACCTGTATAAAACTACTGAGTGAAAAAATATACATTTCCTTTTTACGTAAAAAATGTCTCTCGGGAAAAATCGCTACGAGCAACCGTTCTCAAGATATTTAGAATGGAAATTGTCAATGCATGTCATTATTGATAAAAAATAAACACGTTGAGTAGATAGTCATTGGACTGAAATAATAAATTTAGGAAATTTTTAATTTTTTAAATTAATCATAAATTTTTCTGCGGAAAAGTGATGACAAAGAACTTTAGGCACAAAAACATTGTAAATTTATGATTTCAATCTAATAACTATTTAGTCGCAACATGTTTAATTTATGTCAATGATGACAGGTACTGATAATTTCGATTCCAAATATCTCGAAAACCATTACTCGTAGCGATTTTTACCAAGAGACCTTTTTTACGTAAAAACCATCTAAATGTATATTTTTTTAATCAGTAGTTTTATACAGGAACGAAGAAAAAAGTAATTACTCTTCAAAACAGTTAAAACACATGTAGGTGGCGCCCCCCACAAATAGGAGTGATATTGACATCAAAATCAAATTTCTCACGTCAAAAAACTCCCAGACACCAATTTTCATCCAAATATTGAAGTTACTTCAGAAATTATTTGAAAAAAATCGAAATAAAAATATAACTTCTACACCCTGTATCTCTGAAACTAAGCCTTTTAGGACATACATTTATACAATTTTTTTACTTATTTTTATCTGCAGAATATGCTGCCGAAGTTTCCGGAATACATTTCGGACCACCCTGTATATTTAAATTTCTTAAATGTATTGCCAAAAAAAAACGAGCAAAATCAGAATAGTCAGATATTTCAATTATTGTTCATCGCTCCTTATAGTTGTAAACATTTCAATTCTTTGTCGATTATAGTAGAGTTGCTTAGCAATTTCGGAATCTGGCTCTTCTATGAAATCACAGTAAAAACATAAAACTCTCGATTTGTCTATTAATGCGTACTTCTGATTTATTGAACATTCACTATAATCCATATTAAAACTGTCATATTTAAATTAACCGAAATATTTAAATTGTTTTCCTTTTAAACTGATTAACAACAATTTAACAATGAATCATGAGTCACATCTTACTAATTCTACTATTCAGATCATGACAACAAGGAATACAAAATTATAGTAAGATTTAGTCACTGTAGTAATTCCGATTAGTTTTATAAAATTCATTCTAATATTTTTATAACGCGTTCATGTATTAGTCAGTCACCTTCATTGATATGACGATGGGAAGTGGCAAATAGATTCTTGGAATTTGTTATTAGCTATTTCTTCTTGAAATGCAGAATAAAAGCATGAGTTGACCTTCTAGGATTAAAGTACCTAATAATGTATTATTTCTATTCTTTTAAGAGTTATTTAAATCGTCTGTGTAATATTTTACAGTATAATTTAATTATTTAAAATTAACCGTAATATTTAACGGGAAAATATTTTCTGAACCTGATAAATAAAAAGAATTAATAAACATTTCAATTAAAAAAGAAGTTTTATTGTGAAGAAGGTTCTTGAAAAATCTAACTGCGAGAGTATTGGAGTCATGATTACAAAATCCCGCTTAAGATGGGCTGGTCACGTATGTAGAATGCAAGGAAATCGCATACCAAAATCTCTGATGTACGGTGAGCTTGTAGACGGTAAGAGGAGGCCGGGTGGACGACTCAAAAGCAGAGTTGTTAAACTACACGTAGTAATTAATAAACTACATTTACTACATGTCACAAGTAGTTTTTTAAATGTCGAGTAGTAAATGTGTAGTTTATGCAATTAATGTAGTTTTTTTAAATAACAGTGAAAACATAACCTAAAAACTTTGTTTGTTCTTCAATTTAAAGAAATAAAAAATCTATATTTTGTGAATTTGTTCCTTATTATGTGATATTTTTGATACTTAGTAGTTAAAAATGCTTGGAAGACGTCGATGTCTCCATACCTTGCTCCATACCTTCTGGGAAGAGGGGAATTATGAAGTTGTGCCTTTAGATGTAAAAAATCATATATTCTCCTGGAGAATGTCTATGAAGAATTTCTCCATAAGAATTTATAGTTTATTTTGGGTTCAATGTTACTTTGTATTTCGTAGAAAATACACTTTTATGAAAAAAAAAATTGTCTTTTTTTCTGATGTTGTTTAACTTATACAAATATAATATAACTTCATACTTCCATGATAAGAATTTGGCTTGATTTTTGTTTAAAGTCTAAATTGTTTATGTTTTACTATATTTTTGTAGGTAGTTTTTAACATAGTTTTTGTGTAGTTTTTGAAGGTAGTTTTTAAAATTTAAAACGTAGTTAATACAAAAAATTAGGCGTAGTTTTTGGCGTAGTTTTTTGCTTCATAAACTACTTAACTACCCTGCTCAAAAGGTACAAGCATACTTTCCACGAAAACTTAAAGGGGATTAACATGCAGAATGAGTGGGAAGAAGCAGTTCACAATAGAACTCAATGGAGAGAATTGTAAACTCAGTTAACAGCGACAACCAAAAAGTAAAGATCAAATGTGTGGTAGATAGACCACATCACGTATCGGGCTTTTCAGTCACAGAAAAGCTCATGAAAGAAAACGCCTTGCGTGACACATGCGTGTCAAATGCTCTTCAGCGAGTAATGGCAGTAATAGTAGTAGTACATTTAGTAATAGTAATTTTACTACATAGTTTATTAGGTTTAAACGAAACAAAATACCTGCTATTTAAAGTCTTTCCAACGATTCAAGAAATATTTGGACAGAAGACATAGAAAAAGTCCTAGTATAAGCAAACATGGTATGTCTATGTGCATGTATAGATCCATCTCTCTCGCACGAATAACGTCAGATTCGAATCAAAATTTGAAATCGCCATAATATGTTAAAGCACAGCTTTTCATAACAATTTTGAGTTAAATTCGAGATTCTGTTGCCTATAAGCTTTTTAAATAATTTATGCATCAATTTTATTAATATTTCTTAATTAATTTATCATTTCATAGAGTGAAAATTAATATTTGTTGACTTCTTCTTCTGCCATACTCTATATAGAGCGTCGGCTACCTTTCGCATGTACTTATGATGTGTGTCATCAGTGTTTCACAAGTACACGGGACCTACAGTTTATTGCCGTATCCGAACGGCACTATTTGAGAGGCTGTACAAGGCAAATATGCTCAAGGTGGTTTGCCATTGCCTTCCTTGAGGTGGCGGCTCGTTGGTCGCTCTATTTAGATAAATAAATATTTTTATTTAAATAAATAAAGCGACCGTACTGGCTGGCGTTCGAACCCAGTACCTTCCGCTCCGCAGATCGACACGCTCAAGCTGGAGCTACGGCCGGCCACAAGATCATGTCTAGATGAGAGATTTGTTGACTAGATGATCTTTAATTCTATGTTTTGAATATACCGTATGATCGAATAAAAACGGCGTCAGCGGTGGCTATGAAATGACGATCAATGACATTTCCTATATAAATTTACATATAAAATAACAGCGATCTTCATTTCATAACCATCGCTGACGCCGTTTTTATTCGATCATACGGTACCACAACCATTAAAGTCTGATATATTTTTATTTATTTCTTACTGAATTAATATAAGCTTATAGTATATCATCAAATCTCTCTTCGGACATTATTAACGGGAATTAAGATGCTATAATTCCCTCTACATTTTATAGGTAACAACCAAGTAATACAAGAGATTTTGAGTAATAATATCAAATGAAAATGGACACTCATCGAACTACTTTAATAATTTGTTTACATCATTAATGTCACATATAATATATTTAGAAGGCAACAGTTTCATCAACATCGCCCAACACACATTTTCATATTTCTGGAGAGTATCCTTCATTACCCTAACTTGTTCTTGTAGCTCTTCATTTTGCCTAACATTTTAATTTTATCTCTAAACTCATCAAGTCCATTTCACCTAAAAAGTGTTTTTTTTTTATTAAAACTGCTTTAAAGTTAAACTTACTCATGATTATTAATTCGGGTGGGGGTTTTCACATTAAGACTAGTCTCTATTGCTTTGGTTAATTCAGCTATCGTAGATCTATTAGTACCAGATGCTTGGTTTTCTTCGTAAGTTCAAGAATGCAAATAAGGTTCTTCATATGAAATTGAAGGTTGAGTCTCAAATGACTCCTTTAATATCTCCGTAACTTACTGTGTTATGTTGCCTTTTTTTATCAATTTAACCAGATCTTGTAGTTGTCTTGGGTTTTTGAGATGAAGAAGGAATATTTAATACTCACACAGTGTCAAATTTTAAATTGGGGCCAGTTTTTGGATTGTATTGTAGCAACCTTTATTTCATTGGA